CATAAAAATTATTGATAGAAGGATGGGCTAGCTTACTAAATGCAGATGCTGACTGGCTGGCTTCTTTACCTTGACCCATCCCCCTTCAGTTTCTTCCCATGGCTGCAGCTATGTAGCTGCCACCCCTCCCCCTCCTTCTTTCATCACTTTGGGGAAGGTGAATTTGCAGGTGTGGGAAAGAGTAAAACTCTTTTCCTAATCTCATCTGGTAAGAAATGGGTTAACAGAAAAATCTAGGGCTGTTTGTAATCCCTGCTCTGAGATACTCTCTTAACTCCAGGGAAGGGAGTGGTGGAAAGGAGTGACTAGATTGTAAGGAGGTCTTTTCAAACTTTTTCACTTCTACATCTACTCCTTAAAAACTTAGAGTGGGGCATTGAACCTTTCAGGCCTACATTCAGGAGACTGGTGCCTTTTCTTACAGTACCTGCAGCACGAATCATTGATTCTGTTTCTCTGAAAGCACCCTTTGAAGGCTGATCCAAGGACACAACAAATCTAGGAATGAAACTCAGAAAGGCCACAGTAGATTTGGACATAATTGTTATCAGTATCAAATTATTATTGCAACAAATTAGCTTGCAAATGGAAATTTAGTTGGCCTTCTAAAAATCACACAAAAAGAGTTTGTAAAAAGTATTTCCCTTTCTTAAAAAAACTTACAATTTATCCTAATGTTAAAAGGAATAATCACTAAACTTTCATGAAGTAGCTGGAAACCTTAAAGATTAGATTTTATCAAAACCAAGTTTGTGTAAAATATCTTTTAAGTATCATAAATCCCCAAAGTGCCATAAAAACAAAATTCTCAATAATCACAAATACCTAAGTACCAAAAGATGTTTACTTTGAGGTAGCAGTTCCTTTTTTTTTCTAAGGGAAGAACATACCCAATTAAACTAGCCTTATAACAATAACGAAGTTTACCAGGCCTTTAAAAATTTACTCAGTAGGAATTCCATTACATTTGCACAGGGTTGATAAGAATTTATAACTAGATGATTCCAAAAATCCTTGTCTTAGTTAACAACCTCATAATCTGACAGTACAGTTCTTAATCTAACAACATCTAGATCATAAGAGGAACAACACAGGTGATACAATTGTTAACCAAATTATACAATATAAGAACATTTAGAAATATAACCATACCACAAACAATTATCCTGTATTTAAAACTTGAAACAGAACCAATTAATTACCAATCAGGTGACCTAATTTAGTTGGATGAGCAAATCAAACTGGATTCATACTCACTAGTAGTAACATTTTAATTTCTAAGGCCCAATACCCTTAGCACTTTAAAAGAAAAGATTCACATTTTTTTGAAGACACTTGGTGACAACTCCCAGTTCCAAATAACCTTTTACTTCCTTCAGCTGGAGTTCCTGGTCCCTTTTATCTTTGAGACTTATCATCCCTAAGCATTCCAGCTCTCCATTCCTATGTTCCCCTGGAATTTTGAACTGCATGTACTAGGAAATGCATATAAAGTTTTAAGTTAACAACACAGGGCATAGAGACCTCAAAATTTGGGCACAGGGACCCCCAAAGAAAACCAGGCACAGAGGCCTAGCTCCCTGCCTCCCCCAACATCCCACAGGGGAGGGGAAGGAACAACACAGGGTCTTTAAGTTTTGGAGACTGAATTTCTTCACAAATCACTTTTCTAGATTATATCGAGGGCAGGCTGTATCTCAATGAAACACTAGGCACTTTTTTTTAAGATCTCCTCCCCCCCCAATTTGTTGCAATGCCATAATAGACACCCTAGTGGAAAATCACAGGGTATTGACTGGTTCTGTCCCATCCTAATGGTCTCCTAGCAGCCTCTCATCACTCATACAGAAAGGAAAAAAAAAAAAACGTGACTGACCCAGCACAAAGGTGTCCCCTTATATAAGGGTCAACAGTCTGACCACTCAGAAGTCAGTGGAACTTCAGATGACACTGACAGTTTCTGGGCACTCCAGGGATCTTGAAGCTAGGGTGACAATGAGAGCAGAAAAGGTCTGGGGAAGAGAATAAAAAAAGGGGCTTACCTCTTTATCCCAGTGGCTTAGGAGAAGGTCAGGGGAGTCCAATTAATATTTGGAAATCTCAGGTTTTGGTACCATTATATGTTGAGTCAGGTTTGGGAAAGTGGTTAGGGGTGTGAAAGAATTCACTTAGACTTTCTCTGTAGCCATTGGTAACCAGTTCAGGGTAGACCCCAAGAATGTCCAGGTGCTACCTGAAAGGATGAGGAATAGACATGCGGGTCCTAGTGTCCTGAAATAATTCACTCAGACAGTCTCCAAGTGAAAGAAAGGCATATTTTGGGGCGATGTACCCAAGAAAGCCTGCTCCCTGTGAGGCAGCTTAATGGGCTCTACTCCACATGGAAGGCAGAGCATAGACCACAGGCCCTGCTCCCCTAAAAAAGCAGAGTGGCCCCTGCTTCCCGTAGGAAGTAAAGGCAGTTAGCTAGGTCAAAGGTATGGTTTAAATACAATTTCATGGGAATGGGAGAAGAGGACAAGACAATTAGACTAGCAAGCATGACTCCTGGGATATCAGGTAGTCCAGAGGTGATGAGCAAAGAGAACAGGGAAGGGGAGAGGAAGAATTGTTCTGGAATTGAAGGTGCTTTGTGAAAGCACACAGATAAGTCCATTGTGGGGGCTTCCATGCATAGTCTTCTTCTTCTTCTTCTTCTTCTTCTTCTTCTTCTTCTTCTTCTTCTTCTTCTTCTTCTTCTTCTTCTTCTTCTTCTTCTTCTTCGGCAATTGGGGTTAAGTGATTTGCCCAGGATCACCCGGCTAGTAAGTGTCAAGTATTTGGTCTGAGGCCAGATTTTAACTCAGGTCCTCCTGACTTCAGGGCCAGTGCTCTATCCACTGTGCCACCTAGCTGTCCCATAGTCTTCTTTGATCACTTTTCTGGCTGGTCACATCCTGCATCTTATCTCCTATCTCTGGTCCTGCTTGCTCCATCTGCCTCAAACACTCTTTTCTACCTCATTGTTTCCTTAAGCTAAACTGCCAAGGATTCAAACTGTACTGCAGTAAACACAACTCTGATGGGAGGGCCACCTTCTTTGAATGCCAAATATACATTTGCCTAAAAGACTATTTTATTTTAGAGAACTCACAGAAGGCAGCCGCTCACATGGAGGTCAGAATAAGCAATTCAAGGACACTCTCAGGGTTTCTCTACAGAACTTTGGTATTGATTGTGAGACATGGGACACATTGGTACAGGATTATCCAGTATGGCATGCCCACCTCAAAGAAGATGATGTACTCTTTGAGCAAAGCAGAATTGCAGTAGCTTAAAATAAATGTTAGATGTCAAATTTAGAGACATCTCTCTCCCAAAATGTTCATATAGACTATTTGTGACTGACCTGTGGTAGAGCCTTCTGAGCTCTTGTTGCATGTTGACCCAACATCATGATGCCACTTTGGTCCTCTTCAGAAGACCAAACAAGGTCCTTCAAAAGGACAAACAACAATAGCAATGGAGCTATGAAATGATTCAGCCATTCTGGAAAGCAATTTAGAATTGTGTTCAAAATGTCAATAAATTGTGCATACCCTTTGTCCCAGCAATACTACTACTAAGCATATATCCCAGAGACAAAAGAAAGAGGAAAAGGAAACATATGTACAAAAATATTTGTAGCATTTCTTCTCATATTAGCAAAAAAAAAAAAGCTAGTAACAGAAAGAGTGCTCACCTATTGGGAAAAGATTAACCAAGTTATGATATAGTAATAGAATAGAATATTATTATGCCATAAGAAATGGTGAAATGGACAGTTTCATAGCAAATATGGAAGAACTAAAGCTAAAATATAGTAAAGAGATTAGAACCAGAAGAACAATTTAGACAATGACAAAATTATTTTAAAAAAAAACTTTGAAAGGCTTTAGAATTCTGATCAATGGAATGATAAACCATAAGTTCATAATCAGAATCAGAATCAGAATTAACCAAAGATAAAGCATACTCACATCCTGACAAAGAGATGATAGACCCAAAATATCAAAGTTTGGACAAAATCCATGAGGTAATTTACTTCGGTTGACTATGCATATTTGGGCTGGGCCTGGAGTCAGAAGGACTCATGAGTTCAAACCCAGCCTCAGACACTTACTAACTGTGTGACCCTGGGCAACTCACTTAAGCCTGTTTGACTCAGTTTCTTCATCTGTAAAGTGAATGGAGGAGGAAATGGCAAACCACTCCAGTATCTTTGCCAAGAAAACCTTAAATTAGAGTCACAAAGAGTCAGACATGACTGAAAATGACTAAACAACAAAATTTGTTATAAAAGGTCCTTTTTGTTCTTGTTGTTCAATGAGGAAGGGAATGGGAGAGAGAAAAATCCTATCTATGAAGGAGAAAAAGAATAGGGAAGCCATGGGCATATCTGTCACCATCAGGGAGGGAGCCAGTAGATAGGAGAGATTTAAGATTACATAGAGGGAGAGGATGATCAAAGGAGCAAGCTATTAGAGAGGATAAGAGAGGAAAGGATAGAAGATAAAGGTAGAGGGGCTTGCCTAAGTGAAGCAATAGGGCTTTGATGCATGTCCAGATCACCTAATATGGAGGCAACTATGTGAGAGGTGCCAGGGACATGCTTCTGAGGAGAGACGTTCTGGGTTCCTATACCATGAGAGTAAGAGCAGCCTTTTCCATTGACTATGTAATCAGAATAAGCAGTGTCTTTAAAACTATCAGACTGGGGAGATTGTGCTCTTTTTCTAGCTTTGTCCAGAGGGTTGATGGTCTTGTTCACCCACAGCTTAACTGTCTATTAACTGAGCTGGGTTAGGGGAAGGGCCGCCTTCCCCCTCTCCCTTTTAGGTCCTGTGGTCCAAAGAATCAGGCTTGGAGTTTTGGTCTATTTCACTGTCTTTACAGTTCTAGGCACAATTGAGTCCATGGACCTGGGAATCCGAGCCATAGCAACCCTGTAGGCAAGATTCCAGACCAGATGCCACTGCCAGTCCAGCAGAGAAGTCTTAAGAAGCCAGGGTACTGGGACTCAAGCCCAAGGAGACTGTGGACTCAGAACTTGATGGCACCCTGCTACAGAGAAACAGAATGAAGCTGTGAACCCAATCCCTCTCTCCTTCACAGATGCTGAGGTGGTGTTAGGGGGGAATTATACTGCCCCAGGTGTGTGTAGGGGGGGAGTGGAGTTAGGGGAATGTCTGTATTTTTGTCTTGCTCTAGCTTTAAAGTTAATATTTCTTTGTAAAAAGCTAAAATGAGTTTTAAGAAGTTAAATGGAACTGGAGTACAGGGGACCTCTAAAATTGAGTAGATAGAATGGGATAGGGCTTTGAGTCACTGGCAAAGACAATAAAAACCACTAACCCCGTTAGAGTTACCAGGGAACCCTGGAGGAGAGGTGAAATGTAATACATCTGGACTTCAGGCAGTACAAGCTTGTGTAATCACTGCTACAATGACAAAGACTTCCTCTTTGAGAAGCAAAGGACAGGTAATGCAGAATGGATTCAATGTATAGCAAAGGAGATTTAAAAAGCACTTCTGCTTTACCACTGAAATAAGAGTCCTAATCCTCTGCTGAGAAGAGGGTAGAAGTGGGTGACAAGAAAAGGTTTGCTACAGTCACTGTGCGGAGGATGAAACAATGAGAGCTCAGTTGAAAGAGGATTTATATATATAACCAGCAGGTGGCACTTTGGTCCAGCATAGATTATCACTGGTGAAAATTTAACTATTTTCTCATATTTTCACCAAGGAAACCCACATTATAAGTGAAAATTATCTTATCAAGATTTTAGAAAGATAGGAAAGTAGGCATATGTGAGTTGCCAGGTACTGGAGGTCACCTGATCAACTTCTGCTTAGAACCATGTTCTAATACTTGTTTCATCCTTAAAGGCTTTGGTGCTTATTTAGGGCTTAAATGACCTTGACAACAAACTTTGTGTAAATGTATCCAAAACAGAACTCACATATACTCCAGTCTCTGAGGAAAAGGTGGCCCTTTTCGTTGCCGAAGTCAACCTTTCTATTCATGTTCTTGATTGTTTCTCTCTTATCTCTTCTGAGAGCTAGCCTCTCCAATCATTCCCTTTCTCTCATGATCATTCTCTTTTTATCTGCTGGCTTCTTTCGCAGCACCTACAAAAAATGCTGCCTCACTCAAATTCTGAGAAACTTTCACTTGACCGTGCTATTCTCTCAAGCTATCATCTTTTATTTCTTCTCCCTTTCACAGAAAAATTCCAAGAAAGGGCCATCTATAGTAGTTTTTCTATCTTTCTGCTTCTCCATCTGTTTTAACCTGACTTCTTACCTCCTTACCTTGAGCTTCTTTTCTTTTTTATAAATGTATATTTGCTCAAAACCTATAGCAGGAATTGAAATATAACAACATCTCTTTAAACTTGAACAAGCTTTCCCCTCTCTAACTGGCCCCCAGGGGAGAGTGAGCTCAAACTTAAAGTGGTTGCTACAAAACATTCCTCCCACCAAGATCACAGCCAGGATAGAGATTGTTCCCCTGCTTGTAGGCCACAGGGTCTTGGCAGCCAGCTCCATTCGCTATTGGACAGCTCCTCAAATTGCTACAAAGCATTCACCCCACCAAGTTCAATCATAAATCAATCAATAAATATTTATTAAGTGCCTACTATGTGCCAGGCATTGTGCTAAGCACTAGGCATAGAATAGAGGCACAAAAACAGTCCCTGCCCTCAAGAAGCTTACAATCAACAAGCAAACAAATCTATACAAAGCAAGCTATACACAGAAGAAATATTAACAATTTTAAGAGAGGAAAAGCACTGAAAATAACAGGGGTTGAGTAAAGCTTCCTGTAGAAGATGGGATTTTAGAAGATAACACTTAAAGGAAATCATGGAGTCAGGAGTTGGAGGGGAGGAGGGAGAGCATTTCAGGTATGGAGGAAAGCCAGAATAAATGCCTGCAGCCAAGAGACAGGGTGTCTTGTTCTTAAAACAGCCAGAAGGCCAGTGTGATTGGATCAAAAAGTATGTGTCAGGAAGTAAGGAGTAAGATTATAAAGGTAGGAAGGAGCTGGGTTATGAAGGGATTTGAATGCCAAACAGAGGATTTTCTATTTGTTCTTGGAAGCCATAGGAAGCCACCAGAGTTTAATGAGTAGAAGGGCAACATGATCAGACATGTGTTTTAGAAAAATCACATTAGTGACTGAATGGAGGATGGATTGGAGTGGGAAGAGACTTGAGGTAGGCAGACTATAGGAATAATCAAGGTGTGAGGCAATAAAGGCCAACACTAAAGTAGTGGCAGCTTCAGAGGAGAGAAGACAGCATATTCAAGAGACATTGAAAAGGTGAAATCAACAGGCTTTGAAAACTTGAATATATATGTGTGTGTGTGTGTGTGTGTGTGTATTTATATATGTGCATTTATATGTAGAGAAAGAGAATGAGGAGTCCAGGATGATTCCTAGGTTGTGAGCCTGAGGGACTGGAAGGATGGTGTTACCTGTTACAATAACAAGGAAAGTAGGAAGTGGGAGAAGGTTTAGAGAGAAAGATAATGAATTCAATTTTGGACATGTTGACTTTAAGATATCTACTAGATATCTACTGTTTGGAATGCCTGTAAGGCAGTTGGAGATTTGAGATTGGAGGTCAGTAGAGAAAATGGGGCAGGAAAGGTAAATTTGGGAATCGCCAACATAGAGATAGTAATTAAATCCATGGGAGCTAATGAGATCAGCAAGTGAAGTAGTATTGAGGGAGAAGAGAAGAAGGTCCAGGACAGAACCCTTCTGGGCACCAATGCTTACAGGGCATGATCTGGAGGAGGATCCAGCAAAGGAGACTAAGAGGGAGCAATGAAATAAGTAGGAGGAGAACCAGGAGAGTGTGGTGTCTCAGAAAACCAAAGAGAAGACAGGATCAAGGAGGAGGATGGAGGGACCAGTAGTGTCAAATGCTGCTGAGAGGACAAGGAGAATGAAGATTGGAAAAAGGCTGTTGTGATGTTGAATAGAGTAGTTTTGCTGGAATGCTAAAGTTGGAAGCCTGATTATAAGAGGTTAAGAAGAGACGGATAGGAGAAAAAGGGGGGGCATTTTTGTAGACAGCCTTTTCCAGGAGCAGCCAGTGGATGAATTGCTTCCTTCCTTGCTGGGTACAGTGTCTTGGAAGCCAGGACAATTCCTTGCTGGACAGCTCCTCAGGCCTGGTTCCTCACTAGGTTTGGCTGCCAGCAAACTCTACTAAGGACCCCACTTCCTGGACCTGGGCCCTTCTGACCTTGCAAATCCTACAAGGTCATAATCTATCCCATTCTGCTTCCACTATTCATTCACCTATGAATAGTGAACAATTAAGCACAACGAGAAAAACACCAGCACCAAGCTTTTACAACCTAACAGGCAACCAGGCGGGAGAAAAAGCCTGAGACCCCTCCCCATCCAGAGGCCACAACAGTTCCTCCTCTTCCTCACTCAAAAATCATCGAGAGAAAAAAGGCCACGATCTTCTTTTGGAGCCTTTTGTATGCCTCCTCACCTCAACCTCTTAGAATCCCTAACTTCCTTCAAATCACACCTCAGTAAAAATCAATATCTCATACACAAGGACTCTTCCATCTCCATGATTTCATGCCCACTCTACCTCAACTATCACAACCATACAATCATTCTGGGCAATTTATATTTACTTCATTTCATTTTCAATGTTGAATTATTTCCCTCTCCATCTCCTCCCCCACACACTAAAAAGGAAGAAAAACAAAGTATAGTCATTTTTTTCAATTTCCTCATTACTTATGTCTTTAAAAAAAGAAAGAAAAAGATGAAATTATGTTTCAATTTACATTATGATTCCATCAGCTGTCTATCTGGAGGTGGATAGTATATTTCATCATGAGTCCTTCAGAATTGGGGTTGTTCATCACATTGATCAGAGTTACTAAATCTGTCAAACTTCATCATCTTTACAATACAGCTGTTATTGTAAAAAAAAATTATCCTCACTTCAGTTTTCATCAGTTTATACAAGTCTTCCCAGGTTTTTCTGAAATTATTCACTTCATCACTTCTTATAGCATTATAGTATTTCATCACATTCATATACCATAATGTGTTCAGCCATTGCCAATTGATAAGCATCCTCTCAGTTTCCAACTCTTTGTCGTTACAAATAGAGCTGCCATAAATATTTTTGTACATATAGATCATTTTCCTCTTTCCTGTCCAATGCAACACAAGTTTATTAAACACCTACTACGTGACAGGCACTGTGATAAGCCCTGAGGATACAATTAACAAAATAGAAAGATGGTCTATGCCCTCAAAGAGCTGAGTTACAATATAAAAGAGATAACACACAAATAGAGGCAGGAAAGAGGAGGGAGGGTAAGGGAGTAGAATGGGACATGAGGGAGGGTGTGTTCTGTGGAGTTGAGATCAGGCAGAGCAGCAGATACAGAGTGGAATGAGCCAAAAAGTCCATTTTTGCTCTCTATAAAGAAGGGCATTGGAAGAAGTTTGGTACTCCAGCCTCCAGTAGTCCAGTCAGAGGGGAGAGGAGACTGGGGGAGGTGGTGTCAATTAGGGCTTGAGTTAGCAGCATGGTGAGTTTAGAAGTGCTGAGCTTTTCCTGAGAGGGGCATCATATTCCATAGAGCTGAAACTAGGCAGGGCAGCAGATACAAAATGCAATGAGCTTTCTTTGATCTCTTTGAAGTATAGACCTAGTAGTGGTATCACTGAATCTATCCTGGGAGGGGAATTATGTTCCATAGAGGTGAAAACAGGCAGGGGAGCAGATGCAAAATGTAATGAGCTTTCTTTTATCTCTTTGGGGTATAAATTTAGTAGGGGTGTCACTAAGTCAAAGTGGACAGTTGAATAGCTTTGGGGGCATAACTCCAAACTGTTTTTGAGAATGGTTGGATGACTTCATATCTCCAGCAACAGTGAATTAGTGTGTATATTTTTCCACAGTCCCTGCAAGAGCTGTCATTTTCCGTTTTTGTCATCTTACTCAAACTGATTGGTGTGATATTCTACCTCAAAGTTGTTTTAATTAGATTTCTCTAATTATTACTCATTTAGAGCATTTTTTTCATATGACTATTGAGAGTTTGGATTTCTTCCTTTGAAAATTGCCTATTAATATCCTTTCACCATTTATTAT